CTCCATCCTACCCGCTCCAAGGCTAAGCGCTCAAGGGTATTATGTGGTATATTGATAGCTGACAAGTTGCTTTTTCAGCTTGTCTTTGTATCTTAGCCATGGACTTCCTACATTCCTGTAGCCCTGATCTAACTGGCTGTACATTAGGATATATATATATATATATATATATATATATATATATATATATATATATATATATATATATATACATATACATATATATATATATATATATATATATATATATATATATATATATATATAAATATAGTTTTAATGTCTTATAATTATGTGTATAAGAGGTCAATATCAGAAATAGAGCGTATGTAAATATAAACTTGTCTGGTTTTTACGTTAATCCGATGAATATATATGAGCACTCCTATACCTCAAAGAAACTGAAAAGACAAAAACATTTTTGCTCTTGTATATAAAAGCTTGTAACAAAATTAAATCTCGCATTTGATAAAGTCCCTCATAGAATGAAACGCATCAGCTAAGATAAGTTTTCTTTTTGTCATTACACGTACACTACAAGTTACTTATTTACTTGTATACATTTTCCAGTACTTTACCAGGCGTGGGTGATTAGTTTTATTTAATTATGAGGTTTTAAGAATTGCTTTTTACACATTTTATTCTTATATATTAGCCGCAATAAATTGCCGTATAGAAAAGTGCATTTAATTCTTAAGAGTAATATCTAACAAATTGATTTCTACTGGTTCGCTTTTTAATGTATCATTTCTCTAATGTTTAATTCTATATCTTTCAACTCTTATATTCGTAAGAATTATCCAAGCAACATTGAATAGTGATCTAAAATCATTGAAATGTAGCCAAATGAACTTGTGAATATGAAAAAGTGCGTGTATATGAGAAGCACGCATGCGTGAATCAAACTTTGTTAGTCTGTATATGGTTGAAACGTCAAATTCAGTAAATTTAATAATTGATCCCTGAGGATATTCTTTTATTCAATGGAATAAAGCAACTTTTGAAATATCAGTATGTAATTTATTCCTACTTAAGTTTCTTTAACCTGCTTGTTCTCAATCTGCATCATCATCATCATCGTCATCGGCATCATCATCAGTATCATTATCATAGTCATGATCATCATCGTCGCCGTAATCATCGTCATCATCATCATTGTCTTTATCATATTCATCGTCATCTTCATCGTCATCATTATCATCGTCATCATCATCATCATAGTCGCTGTCATCATCATCATCATTGTCATTATCATCTTCATCGTCATCATCATTATCATCATCATTATTGTCGTCATTATCATCATCATCATCATTGCCGTTATCCATCGTCAGCATCATCGTCACCATTATCATCGTCATCATCATCATTGTCGTTATCATCTTTATCATCTTTATCATCATCATCATCATCATCCCACTCTCCAAACTTGATAGAATCCAAAAGAGTCTACCAGACCTTGTGGGTGACGAATTATTCTCCACCCTCCAACCTCTGTCCCACAGGCGGAATGTGGCAAGCCTCTCTCTGCCCTATCGTTACTTCCACGGAAAGTGCTTGGACGTACTCCATTCCCCGGGACGGTCAAGTAAAACGTTCACGGCAAGGACACGCCATGCTACCTACACATTAAAAAACTACGCACATTCCCTCCGTATTCCACCGGTGAGAAGTAAGTTCCACTCGAACAGCTTCTTTCCGCGAACCACTGCTCTGTGAAACCGGACCTTTCACCCAATGACTACAATCTTAACTTGTTCAAGTCTTGGGTTAACCATTATCTTCCACTCCTATACGTACAAATGGCCTCCGAACGTAACTCTCTACCTCGTGTGCCCCCCGGTCCTTGTAAAGAGTGACCTTCACTGTAAAAAAAAAAAATCATCTTCATCGTCAGCAACAGACGCTGCTATTGCAGGTTAAAAGCCTTTCTTGAATCCTTTCGTAGTGACAGTGACTGTGCTGTTCATCCTCATATTATACCAGCCAACCTCCAGATCACATCTCTCTATATACGGCGTTTGTTATCTATTGTGAATAAATCAAGCAACCTTTTGCTTCATCTGTTATTCTCTCTTTTTTTGCTGTATGTCTTGTCCAACCCCACGCTTGTCTTTAAAATATTTCTATGATCTCACTTGACCGGTTACAGATCTATTTTGACTTTCTTTCTTTCTTTCTTTCTTTCTTTCTTTCTTTCTATGACAGTGGACACTGAGGTCAACATCGAGTGGCGACAATATGGTTCATACTTGAACACAATCTTCCTGAAGACTGAATTCAAACATGAAACAGACTGTCGGCATTCGATGTTGACACACACGCTTTATTCTTGGTATTGAGCACTATTACCCATAAGTATAGCTTACCTTAAAACTATATATATATATATATATATATATATATGTGTGTGTGTGTGTGCGCGCGTGTGTGTGTGTTTGTATGTGTATGTATGTCTGTGTGTCGTTAAACCTTTCCCTCTGTCAGTTTTTCCAATATATATATATATATATATATATATATATATATATATATATATATATATATATATATATATATGTGTGTGTGTGTGTGTATTGAGACATGTTACATTACATTGAGTAATTTGGACAAGTTTTGCTAACTTATTTTCAATTGGATCCTTTCATATTCACGGACCAGTGTCATTATTAAACGAAGAGAGAAAATTACCGCCTTGATCTAATTGAAAATAAGTAGAAAAAACTCGTCTAAATCATTCAATGAAAAATGTCTGAATGAAAGCATGCTGCTAAAATTTACCAATATATATATATATATATATATATATATATATATATATATATATATATATATATTAAGAAATGGACACGGTCCGACAATTTATTTATTAAAGACATTTAAAATAACAACGTTAAACATAAAAAATGTCTTTAATATATATATATATATATATATATATATATTAGGCAAAAAAAAAAACAAACTATGTAACGAGTTTCGTCCTTAATGACTTCAGTGGATTAATTTATGTTTACATTGATGCGATTACACATGCGCACGTAGGAGAGGGGGAACGCTGTGAATTTTAAATTTATTTTTCTTTTAAATATATATTTTGGGTATATAGTCTGTACGAGTTCATTTAGTTTCTTTTTGTTTATGTTTTTATCACTTCTCACATTGTGTTAATAGAGCAAGAAATGTGAAATGGTGTAAGAACTTGAACGAAAATTTACTGTGGATTATCTAGTGATTAAATCACTTTTGTCATAATGAATTTTCTCACGTTTGATTGAAAAGAACTGGTAATGTCTGTCTGTTTAATTTTTATTGTATTTTTTTCCAATTTTCGAATCTGATGTTGAGAATTGTGCTCAAAGTTGTAGATAAACTATCCGAAGTTTATATTTTGCTATTGTTTTGTTCCAGTACTTTCGACCATCTCAGTTATTATGAAGAATCAATGTGGTGTCTTTGTGGTAGGTAGAATTCCTTTGTCTAAATCCTGGTATTCTTTGGGAAGTTGGGCATTTGAAATGGACTAGCGTGTTGTCATGTGTATTGGCTACTGGGAACGAGGCCAAACAAAAAGAATGCGATTTATTTTATTTTGTTTTATTTATTTTTACTATTTTATTTATTTGTGTGTTTCTCTTATATTCATATAACATATTGTTGTATCGCCGAAGCGAATGATACGTAGAGAAGAATGAATGATTAATATATTTATTCAGCACCATTATCCGTTGCTAACGGATACTTACAAAAACACAGAACAATAAGTTACAAAACAATTAACAAGACAACTTACAAGGAATAGAGGAGAGACAAATGCTGTATAGCCAAACGAAGTAAGATCAGTCCGAATATTAATCATCTTAGTATTAACTTATTAATCAACTTATTAATCAGCTGTTGAAGTCCTTAATTGTAGAGTATTTAAGGCTATGAGCCAGGTCATCTGGTAGAGTACTGAAGTGGTGTTAGCTACTCTACAACACATGCACATAGTAATATGCATTTCAAGATACCGTCTCCGGTGGTGAATGATGTTTTATTTAATGTATAATGTATTTTTGTTTAATTTAATTAATTTTTATTTTATTTAATGTTTAATGCATTTTTGTATAATAGTAGCTTCTAGTATTTGGAATCTTTCCTTACAATCGGATTTCCTTGCATATCGTCTGTTAAAACCCTTTTCCAGATATTTAATTTCTTCCACTTATTTCCCATTGGTCTCTCCAGTTTTTAATTAGCACGTTGGACTTTTTATTTTACTGACAACCATAAATTCTGTTTTCTTGCAATTGCTGTTTAGTCATTTTTCACTACATTCTGGAGAAATTTGTTATAATTCCTGTCATTTGCATATCTTATGTTGTTAAGACTGTGAGTGGCGATAATGAACCCCGGTAGGACTGCTAATTCTTGCAGAATCGCTTCACTGTATAGGTTGAATAAGTCCGGTCAGATGACACACCCTTGTTTTACACCCTTTCCTGTTTTATTTTTTAGTCAGTAAATCTAAGATTTTGGTTAAATGATTTACAAAGACGGAAGGCTTTTTGGATGGAATTTTAATGCAGCAAGATCTTTCAATATTTATGATCGTGAAAGTTTCTGATACTGGTTTTTGTAAGTTGAGATGGAAGTCAACTCGGCTTGTTCATCGATCTTTTAAATAGCTACATGTTCCATTGCATTGAAACTCGAATAACATTAGCATAATGGGTTGTACATCGTCGGTAGATTTTTCCAAAAACAGTGAAGCCTATTTTTGAAGGAGTTAACAAAAGAAAATTGAAAAGCCTCATCCGACAAGTTGTTCCATGTACAGATAACTCTATAGGGAAACAAGTCAGAACATACACTCAGTTTGCATCTTCCTACGGCAAATTTCAAACTTCTGCCATGAGTGTCCCTCCCCTGGGCGATGGTATGAAGGATCTTATAAATAAGTATCATGTCACCTCTGAGGCGTCAATGTTCTAAACAAGGAAACTGACGCTCTGAATATGGTGGACTCTTCACTCTTTCTTTGCCCTTGTCTCATAAATTATCTATCTATCTATCTATCTATCTATCTATCTATCTATCTATCTATCTATCTATCAACTCTGTACAAAAATTACCAGTGACCACCATTTTGAGAAACAAAATGAATACACACTAGAAATCTTTTTTAAAATATTGATAAGTAATTTTAAACGATATTTATGATAATGATCTCTCTCTTTCTCTCTCTCTCTCTCTCTATATATATATATATATATATATATATATATATATATATATATATATATATATATATATATATATATATATATAAATAAACAGAAAAAATCATGCCAAGTGTACACACTCAAACACTTACACACACACAAACACACACATATATATATATACTTTACAGAATCTATCTTTTGGAAAAAGTAATATTTGCAAAAAAACAAAACAAAACAAAAAAAAAAACAAAAAAAAAGAAACAAAAAAACGGCTTCATTAAACTTAATTAAAACTTTCAAAAAAACGGAAATGTAGACCAAATTAAGACATAAAATAATTGAAATACATTGTAATATAGTCACAACTCTAAGAAGTTTATGAAGCTTCATTTGACTCATTCCGTTTTAGTACCGATAAGGGGAGACGCTTTCATTTATCAAATCCAATTCAATATCAAGATATTAAACCACTTTTAAGTTCAAATCGACCTCGATATCGAAAGCAAGGCTTTTAAAGAGATTAAAAAACTTTTTTCTTAATTTAATAACTCTTTCTTTGCCTGTCCAGCACCGTCAATCCGTAATCTCGATACAGGCCATGATCATTAATATGCCCAATTTTATTACTTTCATTTTTATTTACTTCCATTAATGCGGACACTTCTACACTGTCAAACTATCCTTGAGGAACGTCAAATCCACTATTATTCCTGACCTTATGCCATATCTTGTTATTATGAAAAAGCTAACAAATTTACAGCACTGCTTGATGATATTCACTTGTTCACTTTTCTCATTTGTAATGTCTTTGGCAAATGTCAGAGTTTTGTCAAGCTCCTGTTCAGATATAGAAGGATGAAAATCCTTTATATGTTAATTTATTAAAACATGTTTTCCGTTATTTCTTTCAGAGGTATTTCGTTGAATGTGACAGACAAGGAAAATTTGCTGAATTATTTATTTACTTTTTCTATTCTTACATTTTCCAAACAAACAGAAAAATGTAAGAATATTAAAAAAAAAAAAAAAAATAAAAAAATAAACAAATCATCAAATTTTCAACGTATGTCATATTCAATATCCACACACACACACACACACACACATATATATATATATGTGTGTGTGTGTGTGTGTGGTGGACTCCCTCGTCGTATTCGACGTATAAGGGTCAAGCAGTTCAGTTCCTAGCAACCGACAGCCAGACACCAGCATATATGATTTGATTATAGTGGTGAAGGGTGTGTGCAGGACCAACCACACTTTTTCAAGGGCCGAATACAGAGACCTGGTGCAATACGTGCTACAAGGTCGCCAAACGACCCTCCGCAGGTTGGTTTGGAATACAGAGTTGTAGTTTTTCCTAGACCAGTTGTCCTGCTATTTACCCATAGTTGGAAGGAGAAGAAGAGGATTAATATCTTTCCCAAGGGTATTAGCACGTAAGTGAATGTAATCTCCGATTCCTCAATCCTAGCTTCTATCCACTACTCTCTCTCTCTCTCTCTCTCTCTATATATATATATATATATATATATATATATATATATATATATATATATATATATATATATATATATATATATATATATATATATATATATATATATATATATATATATATATATATATATATATATATATATACATATATAAAAGTTTGAAGCCACTCTCAAAATTAGCATGAGATAAATTTGACAGAAAAGTAAAAAAAAAAAGAAAAAATGAAAAAGACTTCTTAGAGTCTTTAAAAAACTTATACTTTGAGAAACTTTTGAAATGAATGCCAAAAGTTTGTGCTGCAGTAATCAAGACTAAAGGAGGATATTTTGACGAGAGCAAAATTTCATCATAAAATACATTTTTTCTTTTTGTCATAATAAAATTTTTAATAAAAATTTTTGTCTCATTTTTTTAACCATGTATATTAATTTTCCCTTATTCAAAATACAAAACAAGTACCTTTTGGACCAATTTAAAAAATTACCAGGGCTGGCCTCAAACATTTGAACTGTATATATATATATATATATATATATATATATATATATATATATATATATATATATATATGCCTTTTAAAAAAAATTTAATTGGTTTCAACCTATGCAAGGCAGTAAAGCCACTAAGACACAAGAGGTTTCACGGTGTGGAAGAATTAGGAACAGAAACATTAATAAGGAGCGAGAAGAGGAAATAGTCATCAGGAAGACAGTAGATAGCGATTTTTATTTAGAATATTGGTGCAACATATTCTTCTTACCAACAATCTTCTCAATTTGCTTTGTAATAAACTAAAGTAAGATCAACGAATACCACTTTTTCGTATTATTTTTCCAGAAAAAAACCCTGCCAAATTCCATTCCTCCGAACAGAGAAAAGTTTGTTATATATTAGGTTGGTGCAAAAATAATGACGTAATAATGTCGTTTTTTGACGTATTTTTTAACGTCAAAAACGACATTATTACGTCATTATTTTTGCACCAACCTAATAAGTTCTCTTACTCGTTTAAACTTTCTGTCTTAACAACACTTTCAGAAGTAAGTCTATTTTTTATAAATATTTTCATCGTAATTTTTCTGATGTGCTTTCTTCCTTGTTATTTTTTTTTTATCCCCGCCCAAGACAAATTGCAATTATCGGAATTAGTTAAAACTTCATAGAGATTTAAGGTTTTATGGTGGCTATAGTAAAATAGTAAGTAATGTGTTATTTTTTTCTTGTTTATACTGCGATATATTTGTGTGAGTAATTGTGGCTAGACAAGTTTAATTCTAACACAGAATAAAACCAGCCTTCCCCTATCGCCCCTTTTGGCCTTGTGCCACATTTTTGTATATTACAAAATAAATATCGCTTTCCTCTTTGGTACCTCGACTTTACTAGTTTAAGCCTAGTACTAGGTCTCATTATTTTATAGATAAATTTGCAAGATGTTACCGTAAGTTCTATGCTAATTCTTCCTCCACTCGCATTTCTCACTTTGTTTCGGCTTCTTGCTCTCCAGTCAAAATGTTTTCTAAATCGTTAACCCCCGTCTTCTTAATTCCTTTTATTGTTCGCTCTCGTTAAAGTTTTATTTTTCTCATATCCTCTCAAACTCAGTAACCCCTAACGTCTTAGTGGCTTTATTGCCTTGTTTGTGTTGAAACCATTAAAAAAATCTATTTTCTCAATAACTTTTTGTCATTATGCTAAGCTCTCTTTCCTACTCATGACATAGTAATATAGAATTGATCAAGAGAGACACATTTGAATAATTTTCAAATTATAATAATAATAATAATAATAATAATAATTCAACAAACTTATCATTTTATACTTGATCGGTACAATTTAAAAAAAAATTTAATCAAATATATTAGTAGGACTTATTTTGATAATTCCATAAACATTTTTCGGTTCCGTACGTCTAATTTATAATAATGTGAAATGTCAGACGATCACTATACTTATTACGAACGTGGTAGGTTTACAAAGATATGACTAAATTTTGACATTTTTCTGTAAAAAACGATAGATTAAAAAAAAAAATTATCGACAGAAACATTGTTTTTATGTGGCAGTTTTCTAAAGTTTGAATTAAAAATAGATAACATAGATGAAATATTTATTACAACATGCTTTTAAAAATTGTTATAAAATTAATTATTATCGCTTAAGTTGTAAACGCCATTTGTTCGTAATATATAGAAAAAAAAAACTGATAGAAAATTCATTATATGTTAGTTAGTGGTAGGTGCTAGGCTGTTTTGTTCTGATACAAGTTGGGAACAAACTGACTATCACATTACAAATCGTCACGAGCCTTACAGAAAAATTACGCAAATTTATAAAAGATAAAGTTATTTTTTCCTATTTATTTTTCAATCAATTCAAGCATCTTTTCGATTTCTATTGATTCCAGTAGGAAAATCTTAGATTAAAGTCTGATGTTTATTGAATCCCGGAAGTACTATTCTATTAATTGGGTCCCTAATGTATTTCCTAGGAGGAGTAAAGAGAAAATCATCTATGCTGCATTTCTTTTTTTATATTAATTCAAACGCGGTTGTTCTGAACTGCAGTTTATTGATGAGCATTTTTATCTCTTAGGAATTTTTTTATTCTACATTTAGTGTGGGCTACTAGGTGTGCATCGATTATCATTATTCCTTTCTTATAAAATCAATGCTATCTGCTGATTAGTTTTCCAAGTCGTGTGTCCCTTAGGTGTTACGCATGCGTGCAAAAAATTTGAATTCCTCTTTTCGCAGTCGGTAGTCAATAATCATAAATAATTGATGCCCAGATATCGATACACAGAAGAAATAATTAATATTCTCAAATCGATACATATCACATTACAAATCGTCACGAGCCTTACAGAAAAATTGTTATTAATTAACAAGAAACTTTTTTTTTCCCGCCAAGAGTGTAATGTGATTGAGATAAATTCCGATTTAGATGTAGTCATTAAGATCTTATGTCAATGGCATAATATAATTTCTTAAACTGGTGCACCCATGCACTTGAATACGAACGAAAATCTCAATCACAAACGTATATGTACCATGTCCCTTCAGCATGTCGGTGATCATAGCCCTCCACAATTTCCTATCCTTTGTAGCTTTTAATAAATATTGTCTTCTTATATCTCCTAAATCTTTGTCTACTATTTATTTAGTCAAACTCGCTAGGTAGGATATGTATTTTGTCTGTCTCTTTTGCCGTCAATCTGTCCTCTGAGTAACAGATTTTCCAAGCTTCTTTCCTCATTATGTACCCTAAAAAATTCAACTTTCTCCTGATGGTAAGTATAAGTATCCTTTTTGTTTCCATTCTCTCTATAACTTCGTCGTTGCTCACATGTTCGGGTCATGGAGTTCTTAGTATCCTTCTGTAGAAGCAGTTGCTTCAAGTCTCTTTTTTATTTGTGAGAAGATTGTACAGCATTCGCTGCTATATAGGAATACTGATATTACGTAACAACTCAGTACACTTTTCTTTGTTTCTAACGAAATTGTTCTTTTTTTGAATACTTTCCTTGGCTTTTGGCGGGCGTCTTTCGGTATCACAATACATCATTGGATTTCAGTACCGCACTTTCTGTCCTCTGATAAAACACTTCCCAGATATTTAAATTGTTGTAATTGTTTGATTTTGGTATCTCCAATTTGTAATTTGCATGTTGGGCTGTTTCTTAATCAATAGGCGATGTATCAGAGGTGGTAGGTTTCACACATTTGCATCAAATAGGTTCGCTTGTCGAAGAGCAATTGTTATCGATCATCTCGAAGACAGGATAGTGTAATTATTAAAATAATGTTAGTAAATATTAGTTATTATTTAACTGCTATGTAATATCGATCCTCCTATATAGCAATGAATGTTGGACAATTTCCTCACAGAAAAAGTGGAGACTTGAGGCAACAGAGATGTGGTTCTACAGAAGGATACTGAGCATACCATGGACAGAACATCTGAGCAACGAAGAAGCTTTAAGAGAAAGTGAATTAAAAAGGACATTCGTAAATAGAATCTTAAAGAGATAGTTGATATTTCTGGCACACATAATGAGGAAAAAGGGCTTGGAGAATTTGACACTTACAAGACATATTGAAGGCAAGCCGGGTAGAGGCAAACTGTAACTTACCTAACGAGTTTGTGTAAATAGATGACAGAAAAGGATAGGACGTTGTGGCGAGCCATGATCTGCCACGTCCTGAAGTGATACAGCGTATAAAAGAAGAAATATTAGTTTCAAGTTCCTACTGTAGCTGTTATTGTAGATCATTCGATAATGTAGTGAGTTCTACAACCACTGTTGGAAATATTCGAGTCAGACAGGTTCGCAAGTATTGAACATGCAAAAGTCAGCTGTCGTGAACTGATTACGTGGATGATGGACAATCGTCTTCCAAAGCCCTGCCAATATGGGACCGTCGGAAAACTAGGGTCTACTAGAAGTCTTTGAAAAAGACCTTCGTCTCTTGTGGGATCTACCGTTGTCACTGGGAAATAGAGATCATGATCAGGCAGACATGGAAGAAATTTCTACGCCGAATTAAACCCCAGAAAAAAAGAGCAGAACAACAAAAGCAGTTCTCCAAGGCCGGTCAAAACTTCACCATTAGTTAATATCGAATTGTATTCGACTCAGTGACCACTTATGAGGTTGCAACAGATCGGAAAACCCTTCGAAATGTTCATCGCAATGCGAAGTGATGATGATTATAAGCTCATATTTAATGAGGTTTTACATGGCTGTATATGACAGCGTAAAAGACCCAAGGAGAGATTAGACGCACATCTATATCAGCCAAGTATATTCAGGAAAACAGTTTAAACAACCGTTTGCTGGGCTCACGGTCATTGAAGAAAACAACGATTTGAATAAAGCCCATCACTAAACGGAATTGTTAGACACACGTAGTGCTTAGAACTACGATGACTAAGAACTGATTAAAACTAAATAAACTAACAGTGACAAGTAATAATTTAAATGAGATAAACTCATCTATTATTATGCTAGATCTGCCTTCAAAAAGTAATTATATTTAACCTAATTGTAATTAACGGTAGATAAAGTAGTTTACTAACAATAGTTCAATGATGAGGATCCGATTGCTCACGGAGGCCCGAAGTCTACTTGTCAAAACACTGCATCACTATTTTTGCCAAATAGGATTCTTCCATTTAGTCAACTCCTATATACAAATCATTATCAAATTCCAGGACCGGTAAATGGTAGTAATGCCAATGTTTTTAGTGCATTTGAGCATGTTATGTTTAAAACAAGCTACCGGTACATTACGAAAACACTTCAGCTATAACGAAAAACATTACCGTATATAAAAAGCAATCTAGCACTACGGCTGAATATAAAACAAAAAACCACAATAATGAAAAATTCTACATTCTTCTTTGGCCATTTTGTATGACGGACATATTTCTTTACAGCCTTAATAGTATGTTACCCAGATAAGTGTGTTTACTGATATTAGTATTTCCTTTCAGTTACGTTTTTTTTCTTTTGTAGTTTAAAGCTTGTTAATGCCATGAATGTATTGGGGCATATACAGGATCAACTGGTACTGACTAAGGTCGCCGTTACTTTATTACAATAATAACTTTTACAGTACCAATAATAATGATAATAATAATCATTTTAACGTTGCTTGAGTAAATAAGATAATTATGCAGTCAGGATAATGAGTATTTGGGGAATAAAATTAGCCTACGGGAGATTTCAAGTTATGCAAGGTGAATTCTTTTTCTGGAAAAGTGTTCTTTTTTTATATCGTCAAATATAGTCATTTATTTTCTAGTGTGAAGGTCTTCGTTTTCATCCACTAAGAAGCTATCGTAGTAAATTTATCTTGTCTAATTATTAAGTAATATTAATAACAATTATAATAATAATAAACAAGAAATATTTAGTATATCGTTTCAACATCTTCCATTTAATGTGTGTATTAGTGTCGTACGGAAGCAAAGCATGTCAATCCATGACAAATGATTCACACCCAGTGATGTGTAGAGTCAGTGCTGCTGGCAAACTGTCACGGTGAAAGAGTAAATAGATTCGGTTTTATTCTTTGGAAAGACTTTTCAAATCTTATTCGAAGTCACGCTGTTGATGCTTTATACAATATTATATATTTACTTTTTTAATATTTTGAACGAACGGCTTTAACAAATTTTGCGATAGCTTGAATGGAACCCACTTTAAGGAAAGCAAATTTGCCAGAATTAAACTTATTCACCTAATTTGACAGCACATGATGGAAAATGCTCCAGGAACTTTGTTAAATGCTTTACAACCGAGGTAGATATTCTTGGAAAGAAACTGAATTGAGAGAAACTTAAAATTAATCTCTGTATAGGACGTAGTAACTCTATTCAAATTAGTATGTTTTTATATATATATATATATATATATATATATATATATATATATATTTATATATTTTTACTTGATTGTGCATGTCATAAGTACGTACATATCTACGTACGTATGTATGACATTTTATATAGATTTCAAACTGGATCTATCTATCTATCTATCTATCTATCTATCTATCTATCTATCTATCTATCTATCTCATTCTATTCATTTTATGAAAAACATGGTTTATTTGATGTCTATCTATCTATCTATCTATCTATCTATCTATCTATCTATCTATCTATCTATAAATTTAACTCTGCTCATTTCGATGTATCTGTATATTTATTTATATCTATATATTATATATATATATGTCTTGACCTGTTCATATCTATCTATCTATCTATCTATCTATCTATCTATCTATCTATCTATCTATCTATTAATGAGATATATATATATATATATTTTATATATCTTTGTCATGTAATCATTAACATGGTTTATTTGATATCTATCTATCTATCTATCTATCTATCTATCTATCTATCTATCTATCTATCTAGTTTATGTGATTCTTAACATGGTTTATCTATCTATCTATCTATCTATCTATCTATCTATCTATCTATCTATCTATCTATCTATCTATCTCCTTGAAAATATGTGTAAAGTACAATTACGTACATATACTGTATCTTGAATTCTTCATATACGTTTTAAATTATGCTCACATAATGATATTTCTATATGTGTATTCGTTTGTATTTTCAGTTTTGAGCGAATATCTTAACTTTTTCATTCTTGAAAACTTAGAACTGACTTTGTTAAGAGAGTACCTAATTCTGTTAAGGTTAAGTGCTGGCTTCTTTGGTGACAAACCATGATCTCATCTCCGTAGGCAAAGCTTCTCTGCAAAGCAATAGAATTTAATTCAAAATGACACTTGGTGATTAAATGAGACTAAGTAAACTGTGGCCTTTTGCTAGATTAACGAAATCAATAACTATATGCATGCGACCTCTTTCTCAGATCAATGTTTAAAAATGGCTTCGAGCGAATGAAACATATCGGTCTTAACGAGGACTATCCTTCTTTCAAACTCTTGGAGTGGCGTTGTGGAATCGCAAAGATCTTAACCAAATAACAGAAACTACATCACTTGAGGACTTTCAACAGCAACAATGACTAGGATGGATATCAACTCAAAAAAAAATGACATAATCAAGATATTAACATTCCAAATTATTTTAAATAAAAGGTTAGGAAGACCCTCTCCCGCCACTAATACTAGAAAAAGCAATAATAGTAGACTTCAGAAACCTATTTTCCAGAAATATTATTTTAATAGAAAGATTTTATAAATTTTAACCGAAAGCAGCACTGGTTGCTCGGTTAAACGAATACTGAATGTTTCCTTATAAGGAAACAGCTAATATCAAAATTACCATTTAAGAACGAATACGGTAGCAAGTTCCTTCGCTCTTGTAGCGAGTCTGATTCCCATTGAAAGTTTCATTGCTATTGTACCAGTCTAAATTACATAACTACAAGAACACCTACTGTAGCGCGATACATATCAAGCATGTTTCCCAGACCAATTCATTAGTGTAAGAAGTTCGACTCCCACTGGGTAACCTGTTAGAATTCTTTGCGTCGGAACAAGTGAATGTAATTGGCTTTAAAAATCAACGTGAAAATTTTGTTTGGTCTCATATGAACGTTACATGCAAACCGGGGAAAAAAATAAATAAAGGAAAACGCTGTCCGGTGTTTCGTAATTTCGATGTTAAAACCTGTCAGCTGAGAGTTTTAAGCAATAGAGATAAATGCGAGGCGGTGTTTCCATTGTACGAACAAAGCTGTTAGTGTTTAATGGCAAATATTAAAGTTAGTAATATTTGTGATGCTTTTTACTTTCATATGTGACTGACCCGCGCCCAGAAATAGGGAAAAGATTTGAGTTGTCGGTTAAAAATGAAATTTCTTTGCGTTGCTTTGTTTTTAACAAAGAGGAGAAGTACCTGAAAAACCATTTCGTGCTGGAAGAATCTTGTTCGGTTCTTTTGCATCTGTAATGAGTTAATGATTGACAATCATGTGCACTTTCAATTAATTCTATTTTTGATTGTTCTGTTGGTAGAATTTAGCAGTAAAATTCTGAGATACTGTTGTAAAGTTTAGGATAATTTAACGGAAGATTTGGAAAATAAAATGCATTAATAAATGCACGTAAACACCAAAAATTATCATTCAAAAACAAAACAAAACAAAAAAAAACAGAACAATAACAAAGAAAATAAGCAAAAAAAAAAAGTTTAAATGTTTAAAAACAAAACTGCGTTAATATTTCAAGTGTCTCAGCTTCATATGACATAAAACATTGTTTACAACCGCATTTGTTAGGCTAGAACAGTGTTTGCTAACCTTTATTCAACAAACGACTCCTTTGGGCATAAAATTTTTTGTTAAATTAAATTTTGAATATTGTACTGAATTTATCTTTCATTGCAAGATAACACTTCGGTATTAGTGCAAAAATTATTTTAATATTGTTTTATTTCTGTTATAAATACCAATGATTAAAATGCTAAAAAAAAAACAGCTTTTATTTGATAGCTTATGTCAATGTTTTTTAATGCGATGATTGACTTTGGTGCTTACTGGCTAAGGCTCTTACTCTAGGTTCATTTGATAGTTTATCCCAATGTTTTCAATGCGATGGTTGATTTTGGTGCTTACTGGCTAAGGCTCTTACTCTAAGTTCATTTGATAGCTTATCCCAATGTTTTCAATGCGATGGTTGACTTTGGTGCTTACTGGCTAAGGATCTTACTCTAGGTTCATTTGATAGCTTATCCCAATGTTTTCAATGCGATGGTTGACTTTGGTGCTTACTGGCTAAGGCTCTTACTCTAGGTTCATTTGATAGCTTATCCCAATGTTTTCAATGCGATGGTTGATTTTGGTGCTTACTGGCTAAAGGTTACTCTAGGTTCATTTGATAGCTTATCCCAATGTTTTCAATGCGATGGTTGATTTTGGTGCTTACTGGCTAAGGATCTTACTCAAGGTTCATTTGATAGCTTATCCCAATGTTTTCAATGCGATGGTTGATTTTGGTGCTTACTGGCTAAGGCTCTTACTCTAGGTTCATTTGATAGCTTATCCCAATGTTTTCAATGCGATGGTTGATTTTGGTGCTTACTGGCTAAGGCTCCTCTAGGTTCATTTGATAGCTTATCCCAATGTTTTCAATGCGATGGTTGTTTTTTTGGTGCTTACTGGCTAGGTTGATTATGTTTTCAGGTTCATTTGATAGCTTATCCCAATGTTTTCAATGCGATGGTTGACTTTGGTGCTTACTGGCTAAGGCTCTTACTCTAGGTTCATTTGATAGCTTATCCCAATGTTTTCAATGCGATGGTTGACTTTGGTGCTTACTGGCTAAGGCTCTTACTCTAGGTTCATTTGATAGTTTATCCCAATGTTTTCAATGCGATGGTTGATTTTGGTGCTTACTGGCTAAGGCTCTTACTCTAGGTTCATTTGATAGCTTATCCCAATGTTTTCAATGCGATGGTTGACTTTTGGTGCTTACTGGCTAAGGATCTTACTCTAGGTTCATTTGATAGCTTATCCCAATGTTTTCAATGCGATGGTTGACTTTGGTGCTTACTGGCTAAGGCTCTTACTCTAGGTTCATTTGATAGCTTATCCCAATGTTTTCAATGCGATGGTTGACTTTGGTGCTTACTGGCTAAGGCTCTTACTCTAGGTTCATTTGATAGCTTATCCCAATGTTTTCAATGCGATGGTTGACTTTGGTGCTTACTGGCTAAGGATCTTACTCTAGGTTCATTTGATAGCTTATCCCAATGTTTTCAATGCGATGGTTGACTTTGGTGCTTACTGGCTAAGGCTCTTACTCTAGGTTCATTTGATAGCTTATCCCAATGTTTTCAATGCGATGGTTGACTTTGGTGCTTACTGGCTAAGGCTCTAGGTTCATTTGATACTTATCCCAATGTTTTCAATGCGATGGTTCATTTGATAGTTCATTTGATTATCCCAATGTTTTCAATGCGATGGTTGACTTTGGTGCTTACTGGCTAAGGATCTTACTCTAGGTTCATTTGATAGCTTATCCCAATGTTTTCAATGCGATGGTTGACTTTGGTGCTTACTGGCTAAGGATCTTACTCTAGGTTCATTTGATAGCTTATCCCAATGTTTTTTCAATGCGATGGTTGATTTTGGTTTACTGGATAAGGCTCTTACTCTAGGTTCATTTGATAGCTTATCCCAATGTTTTCAATGCGATGGTTGATTTTGGTGCTTACTGGCTAAGGATCTTACTCTAGGTTCATTTGATAGCTTATCCCAATGTTTTCAATGCGATGGTTGACTTTGGTGCTTACTGGCTAAGGCTCTTACTCTAGGTTCATTTGATAGCTTATCCCAATGTTTTCAATGCGATGGATGACTTTGGTGCTTACTGGCTAAGGCTCTTACTCTAGGTTCATTTGATAGCTTATCCCAATGTTTTCAATGCGATGGTTGACTTTGGTGCTTACTGGCTAAGGATCTTACTCTAGGTTCATTTGATAGCTTATCCCAATGTTTTCAATGCGATGGTTGACTTTGGTGCTTACTGGCTAAGGATCTTACTCTAGGTTCATTTGATAGCTTATCCCAATGTTTTCAATGCGATGGTTGATTTTGGTGCTTACTGGCTAAGGCTCTTACTCTAGGTTCATTTGATAGCTTATCCCAATGTTTTCAATGCGATGGTTGATTTTGGTGCTTACTGGCTAAGGCTCTTACTCTAAGTTCATTTGATAGCTTATCCCAATGTTTTCAATGCGATGGTTGATTTTGGTGCTTACTGGCTAAGGCTCTTACTCTAGGTTCATTTGATAGTTTATCCCAATGTTTTCAATGCGATGGTTGATTTTGGTGCTTACTGGCTAAAGGCTCTTACAATGTTTTTATGGTTCATTTGATAGCTCTTACTTATCCCAATGTTTTCAATGCGATGGTTGACTTTGGTGCTTACTGGCTAAGGCTCTTACTCTAGGTTCATTTGATAGCTTATCCCAATGTTTTCAATGCGATGGTTGATTTTGGTGCTTACTGGCTAAGGCTCTTACTCTAGGTTCATTTGATAGCTTATCCCAATGTTTTCAATGCGATGGTTGATTTTGGTGCTTACTGGCTAAGGCTCTTACTCTAGGTTCATTTGATAGCTTATCCCAATGTTTTCAATGCGATGGTTGATTTTGGTGCTTACTGGCTAAGGCTCTTACTCTAGGTTCATTTGATAGCTTATCCCAATGTTTTCAATGCGATGGTTGACTTTGGTGCTTACTGGCTAAGGATCTTACTCTAGGTTCATTTGATAGCTTATCCCAATGTTTTCAATGCGATGGTTGATTTTGGTGCTTACTTGATCTTACTCTAGGTTCATTTGATAGCTTATCCCAATGTTTTCAATGCGATGGTTGACTTTGGTGCTTTGGCTAATTTGATAGGTTCATTTGATAGCTTATCCCAATGTTTTCAATGCGATGGTTGACTTTGGTGCTTACTGGCTAAGGCTCTTACTCTAGGTTCATTTGATAGCTTATCCCAATGTTTTCAATGCGATGGTTGACTTTGGTGCTTACTGGCTAAGGATCTTACTCTAGGTTCATTTGATAG